GACGAGAGGCAGATGGTAAAGGAGGAAAGGTTCTAGATTTAAGGATGAAACAGGCAGCCACAATCAATTGCTGTCATAGTGATCAGACCGAAGGCTGCATCAATTATGCTAAACACCTACTATGCTTGATAAGCAATGTGGAACCGGTACTTGAGGCTTAGAGAACGTTCGGGATCTCCCCTGACTTCTAGCCGAAAGTCTATAATATTGTAATCGCAGCCTGTCGTAAGGAATCGTTTCTCAATTCTCATCAGGATTGGGAGATTAGGCTTATGGAGTCCGGAGGATGGGTCCCGGACAAGCATATCATTCGTCTCGTTGGCAGGTGGTAAATCTAGCGAGATCACAAAGTGGGCCCGGATGGCGGAAGGCCTCACAACCGAGACCTGCTCAATCGGATCCCTCAGCTCCCGCCATATTTTCCCCCCATAAGCAGGACAGCTGGGCCGCTGGACCCCCGGGACGTTGGACAACCGTTCAGATTCTGCTCCAGGAACCATGAAACACGGATCCGATGCATGCCTGCCACAAAAAATGATGATTAATCGGGAAAAAATTGAACTTCAATCTCACCTAAGCGGAGTTGGTTGCCATTGTGTTCCGTCGGCTTTGGGGAAGTGTACGTCTGGGCTAAAGAAATGCATTTCATTGCATAGGACAAGAGATTGTCGTCAGGATAACGCAGGATAAGGCGAGAGAACGCGAGATAACGCGACCGGGACGTTGAAATCCCATCATTCCGAGATGAGCAAATCGTGCGTGAGCAGGTTAGCGGATCGTCACTGATCGCGAGAATCCAAGGCGGGATCGTCGACGCTATTTGGAAGGTCAAAGTCTATCTATATAAACTATAGTAGTCTAGCAGTATTCACGCCGGTCTATGTCGAAGGGAACCGAATCGCTGATTCTCGTACTCTCAATTTCGGGATGTTTCTCCGTCAAGGGCCGTACGGTAAAGCGCCGTCCCGAGAGGGTGGAACTCGCTAGTGGAGGTCAATAAATCTTGGACCCCTGAATAATCTGCAGTCATCTGACCATAAGGTCCTTATTTGCATGTCTGATGCTGCTATGATTGCAATGCAATTGTCCGCGCATTAGGCTGTCCAGAGTCGTTATGCTGGACTTGGAATAGGGGACGTTGGCGTCGAGGGCGGCTGAGAAGGTGCATAGGACGGACATCACTGCCGGAAATGAGCAACGGTCAGTCCAATTCATATTCCCAAGTCATTATCATTATGCGAAGTAGGTTGAATGCCTACCTTAGATAGACTTCTTTGGCTATGAATGATACTGATTCGTGGCATAGCCGGAGAAGAGGTGGTCTAAGGCTCGACCAAAAGGTTCCGGAACACTTCTCCAATACTTCCCCTCTTCCACGTCACCTTTACCTGGCTTCACCATGAGAGGAACAGCTCCCCTTCTTCAAAAAGGATCTTCACCGTCCTGGCTCTAAAATCAGAATCCTTTCAAGCACTCATGGCAACATGACAGTGATTTTCAAGTTTGAGCCTATGCCAGGCCCAACCGCTGACTGGGAGGACACCGGCCTATGCGTCAGTTTAATCACCACGTCTTGTTCGATTTGCGGGTATTGCGCTTTCAGATCTCAGAACTTGGCCGATGTAACCCAGCGCAAACATGGCAAATTCGCGACAGCTGTCGGCTCGCACACGACGACGTCGAACTGGCAAGACACGTTTCAGCTGAGTCAGTTTCTCCGGTAGATGCACAGGAAAACCTATCTATGTGAACTGATCGATTGACATATGCATCCAGTCATAGACGATACAGAGCAACGTGTATGCTTTTTGTCCTGTAGCCAGCCGTCCGCGATGGTCAGGGACGACTTACCCCGGAATTGCTTTCAAGACCTACTCCACTTCATGAAGGACTGTCTACTCAAAAGAACACGGAAGTTTCGCGGGAATCATCGAGGGCGACGGAGCCGAAGCACTCATGCTGCTGGGAACTACTCAAGACCCATCGCTTGAAGGCGATTGCTGGCACGGACTTGGCTACTCTGGTGGTAGCCTTTCGGCGTCGATGGCCGACGATTCGGATCTCGTGCGCTTATGGGCAAGGTAAAATGCTTCTTGCCTCTGGATGCTCATCGTTGCTGCTTGATCACTGATGCATGATGTTCACGCGGTACATCCAGACCCCCCCATCTACCCCAGACCCTTACTACACAGCTTCCGTCTTTGACACGATCTATGCTGAAATCAACGAAGCGGAGTGGTATAGAAAACAGGCGGTCAAGGCGAAGAATCTACGACATACACTCCAGCACGGAGATCACCCGACTGGACTCCGTGCTCTTCCGTTTGAGCTAATTTACATGGTCGCTGATTACCTTCCGTCACAAGAGGCCAGAAGTCTCGAGAAGATGTTAGATGTTCACCTTGGCATTTTATTCTGGCGCCCTAGAATTCCGCTTGACCTGTTCTATGAGGTAAAGGCTGTTACAAGAGGGGACATCCATTGGGGTCGTTTGTTCAGCAAGCTGCAGGACCTTGAGAATTCCGATGCCTTAGTATTACGTCGACAGATATTAGGATGCTTGGATGAGCACCTGAATAAATTCAAGTTAGACAAGAAGCGCGCGAAGCAAACTGGAATCTAGCGAGATGATACTGTCTTTTCATGTTGGTATGGTCCATAGTTAAGTCAGCTCCAGAAAAGGGTTCCAAATTTATTGCTTTGGGTTGCCTTGTCAACCTACCGAACAATGGTAGTCAAAAAGCTAGAGCATAGAGCCTGAAAGCATATAGCAAGGTAGCAAGGTCTGGCAATCATCACTGCTGGTTTTCCGAGCTTGCCATGCACAATTGGGGAGTGGGAGGAGGTGCGCGGTTTGGAGCTATCGGCTAAACCAAATCTATCCGCGGACGTCAAGGCCTCTGCATTCCCGAAGCAACACACCTACCATGAACTTCGATCCTCATCTGACTATCAGAAACTGAAGACGAGTATATACAAAATCTCTGGAAATGACATCTTATACATGGTTGTCGCCAGGATAACAATATTCTAAGCAAATATCTAGGGGAAAGATCATTCTGGGCCCTCTCAATCACCACAGAGGGTTTAAATAAGAGTCTGTACTGGCTGAGCTCCCATTTTCCCAGACATGGGCTTAAATCCGGATAGCTTTGTCGACAGAGTGAGGGAGAGTTGCATTGGGTGAAGGGAGAGCAACAATGACGATGAGACATCGCTCGAGTCTGACATGCATTGATAAGACTGCAAGTTCATGACCGAGGGCGACACGATCCCAATCATCGATTAGCTATCATGTGGCCTTTCTGCATGCTGTGTGATTTGCCACCCTGGGCTGCAGATCACATTGCCCCGAGATACTGACGCTAAGCGAAGATATTGCTTTTTTCGCTCCTGCATGTTTGCCAATCCTGTTGGCATAATAGTTGAGAAGAAATCGAAGTCGACGAAACTCTATACGCACGCAGCGATTCATTTTCTACGAACCGACAAGATGTTCCTGGTCCGTGAGAGCGCCTGTACACACTTGATGGTACAGCGTGGTGAGCGTAGGTGCTACTGACGTTACGGCGAGCCTAGAGCTGCCGAAAGTATTTGGGCATATGACGTGTGAATATGGAAAATTCGAATACAGGGCGTCCCTCGGTCTTGTGCTCTGTGTGCCGGGAAATAAGTATTGTCTTTTCTTTGAATTATTGTTACATCAGCGAAGCTGCTGGTCGCTTACCTTTCTAAGAACTCTGATTTCGGAGCATTGACTGACCCGGGATTAGGGCTAACATAGGCGCAATTGCTGCATTCATTGTGACGTCTTCATTGGCTGCCTAGATCGAAACCATCAATGCTTTCCTTGGCCCATGTGCTCTGCAAGAATTTCTTCAATCTTCAGCTGCCGCATGACTCGCTAAGGCTCCTTGAGAACTTTTTAGAACCCATGCTGATTGGTGTAGTGTTATGCGCAAGATCTACCACTGATGTTCTCGATCTGGATCTCAGCCACCATGTGCGGGCCGACGCTGGGACCCACGGTGTCTGCTTCGTTGCCGGGTGACGATTATTCTTTCCTGCAGCAAAGCGACCCTTTGACCGATGTAATGAACAGGTTGAGATGCCACATTGCCGACTCAGACTGAGCAAGATCACAGACAATATAGAGGGAAAGGGGGATACACAGGTATCCTAATTCTCTTACCAAAATTTACCTTTACACATCAGGTACTGAAGCTACGGTGAGTATGCGTTGCCTCCGCAGATCCATGTTTGATACTCGATTAGCTTTTGTAGGACCAGATGAGACACCGACTTCTTCTACTGTCTTGTTCAGTGAAGAGAACAGATGACGCAAAAGTCACAGGTGTTGCAGCAGGATATGAGCAACCTATCACCTCTATCACCTACATGGAAGAGAAACTCGCGTCTCCGTGTGATAGGTGATGCATATTCTGCAGCCATTCCCACAGCCCGATTACAACCTTGCAGAAAGTGGTACTCCGAGCCACCAATAGCAACAGCTCTTTAGATATTTTCTGAACATACGCACCCCTCCTTTCCTGCGACAAAAACCGATGCCTTGTATTACATGGTTGCGCAAATTTTAGCCTTTCCTGCGAGGTGAGACCTTCCTCGTCGAAGATGCCTCTTCCAGGGAAATGTGTATCAGTGATGCCTACCTCATATCTGAACTTTTTCTTGCTCTCCCCGGAGAGGTGAGCGGGTGTAAAACAGGGCAAAAAGGTTCGGACAAGTGGTATCGAAGAGCCTCTGCTGACTTCCGTCATATTTTGCTAAGCAAGAGCACCGTCCATGCGATGAGGCGCTCAATAACGAAATGCCGCCTTTCAACCAGACCTGGTAACTTCGCTTGATCCCTTATCTAGAGCTAGATAGGTCTTGCATATCATCTTTGCTCACTTTGTTCCCTCACCCCGGCCACTGTGTGATTTGAGTGCATTGGATAATCGAGTTAAAGCACAGGAGAATAGAACCAGCACACGGAACATATGGATCTTACCCCGTTTGACCTGGCGTTCGCCCGCCTGCTAGAATTGCGTCTCACTGTCATTGTGAGAAGCCGATCCGAGCCAGATGCTTGTCGCGCAGCTGTCCGAGAGTTGGTGGCGGAGTATCCACTGTTGGGCATGAGGTTCAATATACTGGTAGGCGCCATACAGTTCTTACGGGTCTGATCAGAATCTCGGTTGGCATTTATTGAAAATGTCGTGCACTATTAAAACAGACAGTGGCTCACACCCAGATCTGCGCTGAACAGAGAACGAAGCTCCTCCGCACTGAGGAACTATGTATAGAGGACATCTGGCACGAAAAGGAAGTGAACAAGTGCCTTCGTGAGATTCTTCCGACTGTTAATTTGAGGCCCGAAGAGAGTCCGTCGACTGCTCGCCTCCACGAGACCGAAGAGCTGCAGGGGCTTCTCCAGCAGCACAAGGGCGCCTTTCGCCAGCATGTGCTCTCGATCCACGCGGTCTTTCTTCAGGATGCGTGTGTCCTTCGATTTACCGTGCAACACCCACTGTGTGATGCCACCGGTAAGTCAGTTAGTTTTCAGTACCATGGATATTGCTTTGGCTCTGGGTAAACAGAGCTGATTGTCCTACTTCCATTACCAACAGGAGTTTATCACATCGTCAAAGCATATCTCTCCATCCTAGGAGGAACCGCGCCGCCACCTGAGCAGCGCAAATCCCCCCTCCGAGAACCACTTACCCTCAAGCCCGACCTCATAAACCCAGCGTCAACGACGACGACGACGACGACAAACGAACCCGAACAAGACCAGATCATCAAGCAATACACCCAGCACAACCGCGCCAGCTGGGCCCTCCTCGGCGCCGTCTGTCTCCGCCAGCAATTCTGGGCCCGCTGCCGCCCCTCATCCCGTCGCGTCCGCCGCACCCTCTTCATTCCCCAAGACCACATCGACCACTGGATGAGCCAGGCCCAACGCCAGACCGTCAAAGTCACCGAGCATGACCTGCTCATGGCCTTTATCTACCAGGTACGCGGAAACGAGCCCTCTCTTTGCTCACATTCCCTTTCAGATCCAAACCCGCCAGTCTTAACATAAAGCAAATTCAGGCCGCCTTCCCACCCAACTCCCCAAATGCCAACTTCAGCTTCATCATGAACCTCGAACAGTACCTCGTCGAACCCCGGACGCCACTCACAAACCCCTGGTGTCTGGTTGCTGTGGTCCCCCTCAACTACTCCGCAGCAGCATCAGCCCCAACACCATCCTTGATCGATATAGCAGCCCACATCCGCCAAACCATCCGCGCAGTGCGAGAGCCCGCCTGCCTCGCCCAGCTCCTCGCCCGACAGACACGGATGGGCACCACGCCCGTCATCCCGCGCGCGTACGGCTCGCGAAGTCCCCACGTCGTTGTCACCGCGTGGACGAGTCTGCCGGTGTATGAGCTCGAGGTGCAAGGCAGGAAGCCCGCGGCGGTTCAGGGGGGAATTGGCCTCTGTCAGATGCTGACAGCGTGCGGGGTGGTGATGGACGATGTACTGGTGACGTGGAAGGGGCGGACGGGCGGGTATTGGACGCAGGGGCGGTTGAGTGAGGCCATCTGGATGCGGATGGGGAATGTGTTGGAGCGACCAGCGCCTGGGTTTGCGGCAGCAGCAGCCTCTCGGACTTCGGTGGCTCGGGATGTGAAATTGTAATGTTTGGGCAAGGGGAGGTCCTGTGTAGGTAGTATGACTGGAAGATGGAGCTTAGATTGTACTGTACTGTACGTGTCAGTCGATGGACTTGGCGCCTACCAGCTAACCTGCAAACGCGATTTCTCGTACGCGGAGCAGGATCTGTCTGCTTCAAACGGAGAAAGACAGTCTAGACTCATCTAAATATCCATTCTTCAATAGCATTCTCGCGGAAACATCGCCGAAAAGTGACTGACAAGGGAAGTCTCAACCTGATGTGTAAGAAAAGAAAGACAAATTCATCCTCCAAGCACAAAAATACAACGTCAAACCCGTCCGTGTCCAATTCACAGTGCAGCCTGGCTCCTGGACCTTTCTTCCAAGTACTTCTTACACACATTCTCCGCCTCCTCCATCTTGTTGTTGTTAGCGAGTTCCACCGCCTTACTATGAGCCCTCTCCAACCCCTTACTCAGCTTCACTTCAACTTGCTTCAAGTGTACTGAGGCATACAGATTCAAGACCTCGACGAAGGACTCATACTCCAAATATGCTAGAAGTCTTGTTTAGTCCCACTACATCATGACGGCTGATGTGATCAAGAAGGCAGGGAAACTCACTTTCCTCGCTCCACTGCGGAGCGAATCCATAGAGACTCTCAAAAGTGCCATCGTCCGACTGATTCTTCCCCTGAGAATCACCCAAATCGGTGAGGAAATCAGCGTCGTGCCCTAGCTCAAGGCCCACCCTTGCTCGGTCCTTCCACTCCTCAGTGCGCAAGAAGCCGCCTCGGATTCTCGCCAGATTGTCCTGGTTCCCGTGAGGGATACAGAAGGGCCTCCCAGGGATCTGCCGGTGTTGTGCGTGGGGACTCTTCTGAGCCCCTATTCTCGCTTCGAGCCCATCGATCCGCGCCTCGAGAGCTTTTGCGTAGCTCTTGGCACAGGGACAGTTCTTCTCGTAGTCCTTGATGAGTCCCTGGAAATATTCAAGCCTTTGGATTAGTCTTCTAGATTCCTTGCCGAGATTTTGGAGTTCATAAGTGATCATTCGAAACTCGAACTGTCGATCAGCTCTGTCAGCTTTCACCTCGAGCATCATTTTTGAAAGGTCGGCGCGGGTCACGTGGTTATCAAATTTGTAGCCATCTACTGCCTCTTGCATGATGGCCAAGTTATACTTGACATTCTCAAGCTCATTCCGCAGCGAATCGACTTCATCCTTCAGTCCCCTGATCCTGACCACTCTTGGGTCGAGGGTGGCGGAGGAAGATGGTCGGTCATGTATATCCTCCGCCATCATCGCGTGGTCAATGTCTTTGGACATCTGAAGAGCCCGGTGGATGGCCTTTAGACTAGCAAGGTCTTGGGGAATGATCGGGCAGAGCGACGTAGATTCCGGCTCCGGGAGCTTGCTGTGCCTCCTGCTGAATCAGGTCCATGTTCCACATCGTCGCCATCGCCGGCGACATGGTCGTTCTCTGGAGGCTGGTCGTTGGTGTCGACTTCAGGCTCGTGGGCATCCGTGTCCTTTTCAACAGGGCGTCGATCCGACGGGCGAGTCATGATGTGCTGGGAGGTTGTTAGTGTCAAAGCAGCTGCACTATCCAAGCACAAGCAAAGAAACTACGTACCACAAATAAGCAATCCGAGGTAGGCCCTGAGGCCGACACTGTCGCTAAGGGGCTGGGAAGAGAAAACAGATAAGAGAAACAACCTAAGCGTGGCTGAGAGTAACTAAAAAGAGAGATTGGAAGAGCTTTTGGAGCACAGAGAAGGATCGAGAGTCGTAGACAACAGAATATGAAATTAGAAGTCAACAATTGTGGGAACTAGACTTCAAGAACGTCGATGAAGAAGCCTGCTTGAAAAGGGATGAAATGTAGCAACTTGAGCTTTGTTCAGTGGAGGCTGTCGAGCAAAGGAAAGGATGGAGAATGGAGGCAGGATCAGGAGGATGTGTAAGATCTCCCAGCTACTTATGTTCCGATGCATCCTGAAAGACAGCAGTGAGCTCCTCTCCGTGCAACCGATCTTGCCAGCCAGGCTTCGTCGTCTAGCTTGGGCGAGTTGAGACATGACAGCGACGAAGTCAACGGTCACATCGGATGAGCAAAGCTGTATGGAACCACATCGTCGAGTTACCCGTGAGCCCATGATGTCTTGAACGTTGGCAGCGGAGAACGGGGCTGGTCGTTTGCATCTGATGAGGTAGATTCAGTCTGAGACACTCGTTACAAGGATCCCCGTACTTGGCAGGAGATCTTTTGGCTCTGGCCCAGGCCAACCGTTGTGGCCATACTTGCAAGTCAACTAGCGGTCAGGCCTTCTTCTGAAATTGAAGGTATGTTGGGAATAGCCACATCCATCATATCGATGAAATGATGATGGATATGTTTCTCACAATGAGCTGGGGGTCTGCAGATAGAGGGAGGACGGGGAAGAGAAGAGAGAGAAGAGAGAGAAGAGAGAGAGAGAGAGAGAGAGAGAGA